GCAATATTGGCTATGTGGGTGGGCATCAATAAAGCCTTTAGGTTGAATAATCTAAACGCAGCTTGAATAAGCACCTAATCCATATATTCCACATGGAGGGGAAGTCATCTTTAACTTTCCTCCTTGCCTGAAGGGCAGTCTGGAAGTCCTGGCTAGCAGGCGATGGATGCAGGAAGGATTTAACGTCCATGGGCACTGCATATTCTTTCTTGGTCTTAGCATGTTTCTTAATGGAATGGTTTCAGTCTTGTTAACTTTGGGCTCTCTTTCTCTTTTCTACAGAGGTCATACGGACACGGCTGCGAGAAGAAGGCACTAAATACAAGACTTTCATTCAGACAGCACGTCTGGTAGCACGTGAGGAAGGCTATCTTGCCTTCTATAGAGGACTCTTTGCCCAGCTCATCCGACAGATACCAAACACAGCCATTGTGTTGTCGACCTATGAGTTGATTGTGTACCTGTTAGAAGACCGTGCAAAGTAGCAGAGCCAAGACTACTGTTACAGACTGTAGACCAATTTCTTCATTGAACAAATAGTCCTTTATGACTGCTGCAGGTGGCAGTGCTGGTGGAAGAGCTACGAGTCTGTGATCACCTGCTGGATATTTTCCTTTTGGATTCATGCTTTCTGAAAGGTCTTGAGTCATTAACGTTAATAGTTAATTATAACTTTTTTTTTAACTTAATGATAATTAAACAGCTACTAAATTAAATTACACTATTTAATTTATGTTTGTCCTTTTCCTTAAGCACAGCCATTGTGGTCAAGGAATGTACCTCGTACCATCAAGTGATCTCTTGGACTGATGTTCATTAAAAGTGTATTAAAACCGAAGAACTGGTTTGAAAGTTGGTCTTCCTACCACTAATGTCATATCACTTTTTAGCACTAAAATAACCTAATGCCCAAATAGCTTGGAGAGGTCTTCTGTTTTATTGATGGTGCATCATTTGTTGCTGTGTGAGCATTCTGGAGTGTTCAGGTGTCACACCAGCATCTCAGAAAAGCCACTTACAGTGGCAGTATTGTTGGAATGAGATTGTGGGAGGCTCTTTAGTAAAATGTAATTATTGACAGTACTGGGTACACTCAGGTGCTAGTGTGTAGTGAGTGCTAGTGTGTGTAAACTGATCTGTCCCGACTGACAGCTTTTATACCTTGCTTTTGTGAAGGATAGAGAGCATAAGGGCAGTCGGTGTTTGTGGGCTGCTGACCTGCAGAGATTCCATGAGATGTGCGAACTTAGTCGTGTGTCCTGACATAAGCCTTTCGCTACTGCGAGGCTTTTTTGTGTTGAATTTTCCTTATAATTCAATGCAAGGGGTCTGGAGAGTGGAAGAGGAGATAGGTCCCAGACACTATAGACTATGAATGCAGCTCTGGATTCTGCTTTATAACACGATGTTCAGGAACAAGTCCCTCTTTGTTTGATGTCTTTGTAGAGCAGTGCTTCTGGTAGTTATCTCACAGACGTGTCAGTGGAGTTAACACTAAAAAAATATAGAGCCTGTATAAATATTTTCTTTGTGATTACTTGATTTCTTACTGAAGGAAATAAGAAGGATCTGCTAGTCTAGCGCAGCTGCTGGAACAGTGCTCACGTTTCATATAAAAGTTCTGCCTTCCCCATCAAAGACACATTATCAAAGGGGTATTCTTCAGCAGTAGTCACGATAGAGTTCTTACATTTCAGTTATAAATCAAGTATCCTGCATAATTTATATAATTAGTCCTTTCATAAGCATTAAAATGTACTTTTAATTTCAGTAATTTCTTTACCGCTTGCACTGCAGCAATACTGTTTACATATACGTAAACATGTATTACATAAAATAATGTTTCCATGTAATTCCTGGCAGAGCAGGATAACATATTTTAGAACTTAAATATAATATATTTTTAGAACTTAAATGGGTAGATCTGTGCTTTGCTTTGGCTATCTTATACTCTTCTATTCACTGGTGTCATTTGCTTTGACAGCTGAGGCAAACACTCCAGCATTTGAGCCCAGCTTCAGTCTTCCGTGCTGGCGAACCGAACAATGAGCTTCTCATGATTTGAGCAGGTGTTGAGTTCTTGAGCATAACCCAAGTGTTTATGGACAACTTTTGACTTCAAGGAGCACATACAGTGGAGGTGGTGTTTGGACTTGGAAAGATCATGCGAAGCATTAAGAAACAGCCTGTTAGTGAGTAGGGCTGGCTTTTAGAAGAGAAAGTTTTGGGGCTATTATTTTGTTGTAGAAATATAATGGGTTGATAACTGGATTCAAACCTTCATGTTTATTCTCATTAGAAACTAGCTGGTGACTGGTACTTGATGTCATATTTGACATCAGTGTGATGGAGGAGCACCGAGCAAAGAGGGGTAGAATGCATGCATACCTCATTATGAGGCAAAACAGTGCAAAAATAACTGATTTCTATTGTGTTTCACTGAAAAGAACATATCATGTTACCCTTAAGCTAAAATAAGAAACAGCTGAGTAACTAAAAACTGGCTTTTTTTTTTTTTTTAATGGAGATGATGAGCAGCAAAGCTTTAGTCTCTATGGGAGTCATGCGGTGCTGTTTCTATTTTTGAGAACCAGGACACTTGTGCTGCTGCTTTGAAACTTTTTTTCTGAGACTTGCTTTCTTAAATTAGCGTTCCTCTGTAGTCATAGTACACTGGCTCACTTACAAAGTGTTAGTCAAATGTGTAGCCTGCTGGTACCTTTTGAGAATGAGGGGAGGGAGCTAAATGACCCTTTTGAAGAGTTTGGGGCTTAGAGAAAGTGAACAAATTGTTGCTCCAGCTAAATATGGTGGAAGAAAACAAGAATTCTGAGTTTTTGTTGTTCTTTAAGCTGTGCTGACAACCCTGACAAAATTATTCCTAATTGGCTCGTGGAAGAAGCTATAAAGCTACATGTATATTGGCAGCTAATAGAATTTCTGAATTAGTGTAACTTTATTCCTTTTTCCTTGCTCTCTGCCAGAATTCTAAAACTTCTTTAACCCTGTAAAGAGTTAACAGTTTCATGTGATGCTCTATGAACAGTCCCATTGATGCCACTAGGTATGGGATAAGCCTGTTAGCAGAGGGAAGAATTGGGTGTAATTTTTCCAAAGGGTTATCTGCATCTTAAACCAATCAACCTTACCCTGGTCGTGAAAGAAAAGCTTTATGCATTTTTTACTGTTTGTGCTGCCTCTTCAGCTCCCACAGAAGGTTGGTTTCATGGAAAGTAGATAAATACGTCACTGGTTAGATTTTCTTGGACAATTTCCCTCCAAGTTTGGGCTTCATAACTGCACCCTTTGTAGCTTAATTATCAGATAGGTGATGAAACTGTGGTCTGAAGCAATCACAAGGTTTCCATCAACTTTACCAGGACTGAGTCTGTTCCTGTTCATAAATGAACCATTACGTTGAAATTGCAATCGTGTTACAACTGCACCTCAGGATGGTTATTTTAGCTTTGGAAGCATTTCTTTGGCAGTTGAAGATGTAGGCATTCTTCCCAAATCCTTAAAGACTTAGTGCCTCTGTTTGGGTAGTCATGATTGCCTTGATATCCTTCAGAATTATCTGCATTCATTGTTGTGATGCTTGCTTGTACTGTGGATGCGCCCCTTGCCAGGTTTCATAGTTGTTTTGCGCAAGGTTTTCAATAGCTCATCTAAAGGAGGAAACTTCTGGTAAACAAAGCATCTATGGTAGGACTGATATTACAGATATAGTTGATAGGAAGGGAGGGCCTTCTGGAGAAAGAATAGATCAGCTTTCGAGTATAGAGGTCTTGGAGGACTTGCAGAAAGCCTTGATGTACCAAATGGTCGGGCTGTACTTCCTCGTTCTTCTGTCATTCGGTCTTAAAACAATCCCAAAGTAATTAAGCTAAACAATGGAAGAAAGCTGGAAAAATTACATCCCCCTCCCATTTATCAAGAGGAAATGATCACTGTTAATTCCGTACAGCTCATTCCCATGCTTAAATCTGTGGAGATGGAAATGGGACAGTTAAGACCCTAACCACGCTTAAGCTTTAAAGTAAAAGCCTACTTCCAGTGCAAGTATTTGTCTATGGTGGTACCTTTTCCTTCTTCCACTAGTTTAAACAGAGCTGCTAGTCAGTTTTAGGTTTTTAAAAAACACCTTAACACATCTTGGTTCTCCTGCATTTTAAGCCATTCTGTCTATTGTGATGGAGGGTTTTTTGTTTTCTTTAACCAGGAAAACAGCTGTGCAATTTGAGGCAGGATCAGTCTCAGAGTTTGAAGAGGGCTTGCCTATTACCTTCGTGTAAAAGCAGGGCATGACTGTCAAACCACCAGCGGCTTCCAGTTCTGTAAGGACAGCAAATCCAATGTGGATGTGCTGAGAGTGGCAGAGGCTGACCAGGTAAGTGTTAACTTTGCTTTGTAGGGGAGAGCTCAAGTCAGGAGCAGGCCTGACTTGAGAACTGCTTGCATGAAAGACTTGAGATCTTTCTGCAAAACAGACAAAGGAAAAATGAATATAGCATAAAGGAGAAGTGAATGTAGCATCAGTTTTCAACCTCTCTGGCTCACAGGTAACACACTGCCTGCAAAGCCCTCTAAGTCCTGTTCCACTTGGCCGGCCATGCCTTGGCTAAAGGGAGCTGTTACTGCAGCACATGCTTGACAGGACAGCATTTATCGGGGACTGCAGAAGGGTGCTAACAATAAGGTCAGCAAGAAGGGCAGGGTAATTAGGAGGGCATTGTGTTACCTCTGGAGAAGGTGGTTTGACGGTAGGAAAGTATATCTTGGTAACGGACAGTTACAGAAGACTAAGATCTTTATTTTTCGCTAAGTTTTGGTATCATAGGTGCCTTTTATTTCCCTACCCTGCCTCAAAAGCGTATCACATTTCGCTGCCTTCTTCCTGTGGGCTCCTTCCCGCAGCCCCCTTCCCTTCCTCCCTCAGCGCCGGGGGCGCGCCGGGGCCTGCAGCTTTGCATCGGAGCCTCCTTCCCTCAGCCTCCCCCACCCCTCTCCGTGCAAGCCTGCCACCTTCGCTTCAATTTGGGCAGCTTTTTAGGCTCCGGGCCAAGCACGACGAACACCCGCCCCCGGGCCGGGCAGGGCAAGGCAGGGAGCCCGGCGCTGAGTCATGGCGGCGCCGCCTCACGACTCCGGCCTTTCACGCCGCGCTCCCGCTCCGTGACTCACGGCGCCCGCCCCCGCTCGGCCGTGAGGGGAGGAGCGGCGGCGGCGGGGGGCGGCCGAGCCGCGTACAAAGCCCCGCCGCCGAGGTGGAAGCGGTGCCGGTGGGCTTGAGGGGAAAGGCTGTGTGGTGTGTGTAGAGGTGGGGGGCGTCCTCAGCCCCATGGAGGAAGCCGGGGAGCTGCTGGCCCGCTGCCCCACCGCTGGGCTGGGCGTCACGGTGTGCGCCGCTGCCGCCGGGCTGCTGCTGTACCGCATCGCCAGGAGGTAATGGGGCGAGAGGGGGATTTTGTGGGGTGCTGTGGGGTGCTGCGGATGGTTGGTGAAGGCCTCGGAGGCACGGAGACTCCGCCCGGGGCGCGGAAGCAGCGGGGCCGCCCCGCCGCTGGCTTCTGAGGGAGGCTCCGCGCATGGGGCGGCGTCTGTGAGGAAAAAGATTTCCCCAAAACCATCCCCGGCCCCACGGAGTTGCCCGCTGGTAGCCGAAGGGTTGGGGATGTTCCCTCGGTGTCTTCCCCGAGGCTTTGTGTCCCGGCTGTGCTCAAACCCATCTTGCCGCCTTCCTCCGGCCTGGAGCCGCGGGGCTGGGCCAGCGTGTGGCGGGCACGAGAGCTGGAGGCGTGAGGGAAGAGAGGGTATGGGAGCTTGGCTTCTCCTCGGCCTTTTTTTTTTTGAGGCAAAAAAACAGGAAAACGCGATCGCAGGGGGAGCGGTGTGGGAGTGCTGCAGGTAGGGGAGTGCTGGTGCAGCGCTAAAACTCGGGAATTGCAAATTCAAGCTGAAATTGTTGTTTCCTGACCAAAATCCTGCAGCCGTTTGGCTCTTCGTTGCACGAGCGTGCCTGATTTTGCTACAAATTCAGGCAGATCAGTTAAAAGCAAGGTCTCAAAACCATGTGGAGAGAGTTCAGGACGCATGTTTCGTGAGAAACGTGAAGCTTAATTTGGCAGACTTTGTTCCAGCATAGTTTGAACGCAGGGATATATGAAATCAGAGGCACTTCAGGCTGTGTGGCAGAACCACCTTGAGTTCTCTGCTCACCGGTTGGGTGCCTTTGGAGCAAAGGAGACTCCCAGGGCTGCTCGTGTGAAGGTTCACTTCAAGTTTACGCTTTGAATTTCAAGCATATTGCCACAACCAAATACTTACGGGGTGCTCCACTGCATCTCCTGTTGTATCGTATAATATATAGTGTTATATTAGCCTGTGTACAAGTATTGGCATTTCTATGGCATATTCAGGGCAGTAGAGAAATACCAGTGCCCTAAAGCAATCCTCAGTGAATCAGGCAGCATCCCTGACCCTGCTGACACTAACGTGTCTTTTGAGGCAAGAAATTGGGTTCGTTTTGGTTAAGTTCCACAAAAGGTCTGTGGAATGGAAAGCATTTCTCTCCAAGTCCTTGAAATCTGCTGGAGAGCTGTAGTGTCAGCATATGACCTTGATAATTCTTTGGGGCTATGTATCTGTGTTTTTTTGATGCAGTTCCAATATAACCTAATTTATTTCTTTGCCTTAGTTAAATGAATCATCCAAAGTCAGCTCAGAGGACAGCTTTATAAGGGACTGATCCAAGCGTAGATGTGATGCTGCCCTTGCTGTTAACGTTACCATACAGCTCTGCTGTTTTTCCATGATTTTCCATTTACCTATCTAGCAAGGTGCCTTTCCCACAGCAGCTCCCGCCCCTATAGAAAGGGAAATAAAATAGATCTGAACAACCTAGTGGAAAGTAGTGCTGGAATCACTGTCAGCATATAGAGTTGCACTGCTGTAACTGTGCCAGCATCCAAGACCTTGTACCGGGGTGAAAAAAGATGTGATCTACATCCAGATATGTAGAGGAACTCCTTAATCTTTATGAGTTTGGGTCAGTTAGGAAAATGTTTGTGGTCTTCCTCTGAGACCACCGCATTGCTAAAGATTTGGTACACGTTGAAAGTTGAGTTGCTGAGTGCAAACCTGCAGCTGTAGCTGTTTTTCCTTCATTTTTTGTGCTCCTCCTGATTGTTGGTTACTGACTTGGTGCCAGGACAAATGGAGAGTGCCCTGTGAGGTCTCTCTTCTGGGACTCTTCAGGTCAGTGGTGGCAGAGGCCACTCATAGGAGCCACCAGCTGGATGCCTGCTGGCATCTAGACAGCTGGGATGCTTTTATGTCACACTGGAAAATGGGTTTTAGCTCCGGGTCTGTTCTGGCAGGTGACAGATACGGGCACAACATGGAATTATGGCAGCTCACTGAGATGCCACCCAGGAGCTGGATTTCCCAGGCTACAAGCTGAACAGCATCAGGTTCATCGAGTGCTGTGGGTTTGCTCTATCCTTGGGAGCTTTTCTGCCTGGTTATGTCAAACTGCCATCACCTTTTTGTGATCATCATTGTTGTTCTGATTAAAACTGATCTATGCTTCTCTTCCCAGCACGTCTTTTCTTCAGATTTGCTGGCATGGCCATCTGCGTCATTGCTTTGTGATCTGGTTGTGCCAGAATGAAGTGTTACTTTACTTTAAATACTTGTAATGGGGAATTGTTTCTTTTAATCCCTGCCAGAAGCTGAGGGGAACCCACCTAAGGATGAACATTCCTCTGTGGCCTTTTTTAAGAGCACAGAAAACCAAACATCCTCATCTTCTGAGCCAGCAGGGGCTGAGGAGACAGGGTGGAAATAGGAGTAGTAGGGAGGCTGTCGTTTTGGCAATCCATTAAAGGATTTAGGCGTGACCTTCAGTGTATGTGTAAGTGAGGAATGTTGGAGCACGTTGGGAGTCCCGAAGGCAACTTTCTCCTTCCATTACGTGAGAGAGGCAAACTGCTAAGCTCTGACTGCCAGTGGGTATGCCTACCGTATGATTTTGCAGGTACTGTGCACAGGACAGAAGGATTGCTAGCACAAATAAAGGAGTCTGTAGCCTCCCCCAAAGCTATGTTTTGTCATGAGCGGGATCAGATATCTAGGTGCTGGCCTCGTAGCTGACTTTACGTCACGGATGTCCCCGCAGTGTTGTCTGAAGCAAAGACCTTCTGCCTGCAAAAACCATTAGTCCAAACCTGGCGGCTTTTCCAGCTTGTTTGGGTGTGCAAACATTCGGAGTTTGCGTTCAGGCTACATTTAGGGTTTGTACAGCGAGTCAGCTGGGAATGAAATCTCAGTGCAGTAATTCAATCGCCGCTTGCTGCTCAGGTTTTATTTTGCAGCGGGGCTCTTTGTCCAGCGAAGCTGATTCAAGTTAATGCGGTGTTAGATGAGGAGCTCCTTACAGATGGTTTGCCCGGTGCTTTGTAAGGACTGGAGCACGTGGTAGGTGCTCAAATGGGTTTTGCATTGTCTGTCTTTTCATAACAATATCTGACTGCAGAAAGAATACTATGGTCTAATTTGTTATTGTTCATCCACTGACTGAATTTAGGCAAGGTATGGATGGTTCAAAGTCTCTCGGTCTGTGTTTGAGAGTCTCTTATCTTTTTGTTTTTTAAAGTCTTGCACAATTACTAGAAAATGAGTGCCCCACCTACATGTTCTTGCCTCTGATGTCCTTTTTTCCTCCTTTCTGCAACTAGCAGGTTGGGAATTTCTGCATTTTTTTTTCATTTTTTATTGTTGTTGGTGATTTTTTTTAACCTATTTCTGTGTCAACAGATTATATACTCACGAAAGGGAGGATTACTGCTTTTTATCCTAAATAATCTAGGACGTAGTGATTTCTTCCACATACATTGTTGGAGTGAGGGGCAGCTATTTAACCCTCGGTAGCACTTTGTTAACCTCAAGGGTGAGAAGCAGAATCTTGTTAGTGTACTCTCCCATTTTTACCAAACAATTTAATTGCTGATATTTTTTGAAATATGGCTTGGCATTATTTTTTTATGCATTTTGTTTTAATTTTCCCTTTACAGCATGCATGCTTTACTGCATTTTTGGCCTGTGATGCTCTGCGTTACCCATGAAATCAGTGCTGCTGCCTGCTTTCGTATCGTGAAAGAACGAGGGAGATAGAGGCTGAAGTGCAGCATCTCATAGTGCCTCAGGGATGCCGAAGGATGGCTCAGCAGCAGTGTGGAGGTGGGCCTGTGGCACTTTGCAGCGCCTGCGTTAGCTCAGGGAGCTGTACAGTGACCTACATCTGAGGATGGAATTTAGGTTATGCTTGCTGTCAAAGCCTGTGCCCAAGGAGCAGTAGGATTTGTATTAGGCAAGCATGGTAAAACCTATTTTCATAGCTTTTATGCTTAAAATAGTGAGATGAAGCTAGCACCAGTATGTGTTGCAGTCCAGCCTTTGTAGGGCTCTTTTGACACGTAGTTTGCTTGGCTCTTAGGCAGTGGTAGCTCAGGAGTAACTCAGGCTGGCTGCTGAATTTTCTGTCTTGTTTAACCTTTTTTCACCCATCAACTTCAATGAGGGTATTTTTATCTCGGATCACTTACTGTTTTGAGCCCCACTGGCACTGAACCAAAGCATCAAGCAGAGAACATTCATCTTAGGAGGTGTGGGTGTGTGAATCTATTTTGAGAAGAGAATCTGTCACCCTAGTAGCTCCAGCCATTTCCTTCCAGCATCTGGCAGGGAACCCTCAGTGCACTCGGGTTTTTTGGGCTTCTTTTCAGTGCTTCCTTTCAAGCTTACCCTTGCCATTACAACAACAGGAGGCCCAAGCATCCCTCAGGAGGTTTGATGTTTTATGAGCCGATCTTCGAGGCGTGCTCTATGGAAATAGGAGTGGGGAAGAATTTTAATTAATTTCAGGCTGCAGAGGTGATGGCTGAGAGAAGCCCACTTTACTTTGGGGAGAGCCCCCTGCCTGTTGGTTGCAGGGTGCCAGAGGACTTTGTGTAGCATTCAGGTGCTTCTGCACAGCATATTGCAGCAGGGAACATTTCCTAGGGCAAAGAGACGGGAAGCTGCTCCCAGTTTGTAAGCACTTCAGGTGCTGTTTGCTTTCTAGGCTCTCCGTGAGCTTGCTTAGTTGCTTTCACTGCTGCTGTAGATGTTTGACATTTGCTGGGGTCCTGTTTTTTCTGGATCTTAGCAGCTATTCACCTCTCACAGCCATGTGTTTATGCACATGCCCTGGCTGTTCACTTTCCTGGAGAATTCTGGCAGGAGGCACAGCAGGGCAGGTAGCAGCTGGAGCTGTCTGTCTGCGTGGCCACCACCACCAGACCCTGCCTGAGCAGCCGCCCTCCCTGGGCTGTGCTTGGGGCTGACTCTGATTAAACCCAGGCAGCTGGGCTGGGCTGCCCTGGAGCTTCCTCTTGGGTCTTGCTCTGGGTTTGAGAAGTGCAGAGCTTCTTCAGCAGGCAGGCTCAAGGGCCGAATTACTGAAGATGTTCTAACAGCCCACGTCACAGCTGTTTCTCTTGCAGTGGTTGTTATTACTATTATTTAAAAGGGCCTTTATGGATCCAGGTAATTGATTTTTATCTCTTCAATTCAAGTCTGTAAAAATTGGGGAAGCCCTGCTGATTGCTCAGTTCCTCCTTATTTAACCATAGCTGTGAGAAGCAGCAGCTATTTATAGTGTCTGGACCTTGGGCTAATTTGATACACGCTTGTCCTTGGAAAAATTCTGTGACAAACAGGGCAGGTAGCACTGCCACCGGAGCTCATTTCCTAGGTTTCTGAATGCCATCATGTGCAGTTCTGAAGGATCATACTTATTTCTCAGGATCCTGTATGTTAAACAGATACCCCGCTGCACTCTTCGTCTGTTAATTACTGCTGGTGATTATGGGCATGACTTGCACTCCCAAATATACCTCTGAAATAAAGAGTGAAGTGGGTTATTCACAAGGTTGTTATTAAAATTCTGGCACGTCCCTGGTACTAGCACAAAGACGTATTAGCATCAGGCAGGGATTTATTTCTACTCTAATTGTCCTTCTTTTCACTGCGAAAACAACTACCGTGAGTCAGACCGCTAAAACGTACTGAATGAGAAAATTGACTTCTTTATTCTGAGCTCTCTTGTGTTTCCCGGTTTGAAAGCCGTTGCTTTCCTCTCCATCAGCTAGATTTGGTGCTGATGCCACATTTCTCTTCCTACCAGGAAGAAGCCCACGCACGTGACAGTGAACTGCTGGTTCTGCAACCAGGACACGGTGGTGCCATATGGGAATCGCAACTGCTGGGACTGCCCCAACTGCGAGCAGTACAACGGCTTCCAGGAGGTACTGTGGCGAGAGCTGGCTGAAGGGTGGCTGGGGAGGTGTGTGCTCTGGATAAATATCCAGAGGTTTGACAGCTGGTAGCTCTGTGCTGGGCACCTGTGTACTCAGCAGCTGATGGCTTCCTCAAATTTGGGAAAGAGGCCACGTGTACAGGGATGTGTGGATGTGGAATGATGAAGACAAATTTTCTTCCCTTGTTTCGGAACAATTCTTCTCTCCTTTTGTGTTTTGGAACAGGTGAATTGTGTTACATAGGGGGTTGAATGACAAAGGCTATCTTACATAAAACCCCAACAAGAACTGCTTGCAATTAATATATAAAACAGTGGATGGGGATAAGATATGAAGTGTTTTTTGTCTCTTTCGCTTATTCCTTTTGTGCATAGGTATGACCTGCAGAACCTGGGAAATCTTGTTATCAGCCAGGGAATACCCAGCTCTGATTATATGATCTCATGTTTGTTTTCCTTCCTGCTCTCTTTTTGGTTCTTCTCAGAATGGAGACTACAACAAGCCCATCCCTGCCCAGTACATGGAACACCTCAACCATGTTGTGTCAGGTGCTACAACGTTCTGCGATCCTACCAAGCCGCAGCAGTGGGTGAGCAGCCAAATTTTGCTGTGCAAGAAATGCAACAACCATCAAACCACCAAGATCAAACAGCTCGCTTCATTCTCACCAAGGGAGGAGGTGAGTGTTGGATAGGCACTGGCACCACAGGAGGATGTTTGTCCAGTGCATCTCCATGCATGTATCTTCTGTTCCCTCTCTGTTCCATGGATGGTGAATGGACTTGGAATCTAATGCATTTTTAATCAAAGTTGGAGAGCTGCAAGCCATTGTAGTACTAAAGCATCCTTCCTGCATCTCCAAAGGGAATTTGTACAAGAAAGGCAGGGGGCTCAGACTCTGTAGATGTGATTCTCAAATGCAGCACTCAGAAGAGCAACTGGAGTATTACTAAATTGCTTTCTTGCTCCCCTGACTCAGGACTACATCATGCAGGTACCCTGTAGCTAACTTACTGCCTGATCATTCTGTCCCAGCGGTCTGTGCCTGGCGTGTGCCTGCTCCTTGGGGTGCTGTGGCATCTGGGAAATGATGCAGACTGGCAATTTCACCATCTCCTATGCGTGAAGATTTTTTGTTTAGGGCCCTGAGAAAACTCAATGCTGAGAGGTGTCTTGGAAAACCTATGAAGCTCATTTCCCAGGGAAAAAAAACTGGACAAAGACAGCAAAGTTGTCTTTGGCCACAAAAAAAATTGACCACAAACGGAGCATCCTCATAAGACCCCCAGGGCTGCATTTGTCTCTTCTGGTGCATGGAGGCTGGCTCAGCTGTATGGGAAGCTGGTTGTATGGCTTGCCTCCAGCTTAGTCACTGTTAAGGTCTTTCAGGACTGTTTTTCTGGAGACTGGAGGCATGCCTTGTTTGCATGTCAGCAGTAAGCATGGTAACTGGTGAGGGACCTGCTGTTCTCATCTGTTTTTGTTTTTTTTTTCCTCTTCTCACACCAGGGCAAATATGATGAGGAGATTGAGGTGTATAAGCACCACCTGGAGCAGACCTACAAGCTGTGCCGTCCATGCCAGGCTGCCGTGGAGTATTACATAAAGCACCAGAATCGGCAGCTGCGGGCGCTGCTACTCAGCCACCATTTCAAACGCCGTGAGACAGACAAGACCTATGCTCAGGTACGGTGTGGGAGAGATGGTGGAATTTAGGGGGGAGTGCAGAGAACTCGCTGCCTCTGCGCCTGGGTTTACAGCTGGAAAAGGAAGGTAGTGCTGGCAGCTGTCACAGGGCTTTCTAATTCTGGGGTCATGGGGGTGTGGCAGAAGTTTAGAAAACAGTAGAATAGTTAGCACAGATGCTCCTGGTGTTAGTTTGGTGTTTTTGTCTTGCTGGTGTCATTTAGGAGATGGCCAGATGGTAACTGTAATGTAATTGTGAAAGAGTGGAGGGAGGACGGTGGGACAGGCAGAAAGGGGAAGGTGGGGAAGCTGGTTCACAAGCACAATGAAGGAAGCTACAAAGTACAGGGAAAAAAAGGAATAAGTGAGATGGGAGATGGTTTGTGACCTCTTTGCCTCAATGCCCTGCCTCGCCCTGGATTCTGCTCATGTCTCTGCTTTTCGCTACCCTACCACATCCCTGTGGCAAAACTGTCCAGTAAAGCACACAGCCCATGAGTGTTTCACAAAACACCCTTTCAAAACCTTACTATAATTTTTTTCAGCTTCTGACAAGAGGTTTCTCTTTTCCTCTGCAGAATTTGTGTTCATCCTCCTCTACTTCCATAACTATACCAGCTCAGGTGATATTTCTGCGGTTCTTGGCCTTCCTCAGCTGTGCGTTCCTTGTCCTGATGGCCTTGTATGGGTCGGGTGACCCCTTCTCACTCAGTGCTGCAGTCCCTGCTCCTGTCTCCTATAGTCCAGCAGCTGTTCAAAATAGGACTGGCACGAGCTCACGTGCAGACTTGGAAAATGACACTTCCCTGACAGTGGCAGGCTGGCGGGAGCTGCTCCAACTGCTCCCAGAACAGCTGGTGGAGAACCTGAGCGCCGCGTGGGCTTACGGGAAGAATCATCAGATGGCAGTCGCTGTCCTTGGGTTGTTCACCTGCCTCTTGGCAATGTTCTTGGCTGGGCGGATCAGGTGAGTGTGCTCTTCTCCTCTGCTCCACTTAAAAACTGCTTTGTGTTGGCAGTCTCCTGCCCTGTCCTGACTCAGTGAGCCACGGGGCAGCCCCAGCATGGCAAATGTAGTACTGGGTGGCACTGTTCTTGTTGTTTTTTGGATTGCTAGCCAACTGGATTGAGGTAGCAGAGCTCGCTCTGGCTCTGTGCCTTGATTCATTCAATTTAAGCTGGAATTAGAGCGAATGAAAAGCTCCCTGTGCAGCTCTGTAAGCTGGTGGAGAGTTGAACTAATCCACTTGGGTACTTGACTCAGCAGTGGGAAAGGCTGGGGATGGTATAACCATAGTAAGAGGTGGTACTTAACCTGCTCAGTTCGTGAATTTCTGCCACTGTTCCCCCACCTCCTCCCTTCCCTCCCCTTCCTCAGAACCAATGGGTTTGTGAAGTTTAAACTCTGACCTTGCATCTTCGTGGGTTTCTTTTTGGCATTGCAGGCTCCGAAGAATTGATGCGTTTGCTTCGGTCTTGTGGTTCGTAGTGATGGGTCTGCACTTAGCTGAGAGGTACCTGAAGACAGAAACGCCCAGCTGGCTAGACACAGCCAAATTTGGCACCACCTCCCTGTGCTGCTTGGTGGGCTTCACTGCAGCAGTGGCAACGCGGAAATCAACGGGCCATCGGAGATACCGGCCCCGAAGGTCAGAGCCAGAGCAGTGACGCTGGGGGAAGGAGGAAAAAAGCCTTGTGAACTCTTTGCGACTGGTGCTTCTGTCTCCTCCTTTTACTTTCCTTCCTTTTTTTTTTTTTTTTTTTTAATAGATAAAAGCAGTGAAGATCTCTTCTTCCTCTCTATATAATTTTTTTACTCCCATCTTTGCTTCCCACTGTACTAGCTTCTTGGAGCATTCCCACTGCTGGTGCTAGCCAAGGAAGCTTCTCCTGCTGCATCCATTCTCCCTTCCTCCTGAATCCTCCGTCAGCAGTGCAAATATCCAACCTCCCCAAAGCCAGTTCTTCCAGCAACTGCTTCACAAACTGCTCCATAAATGCAGCCTCCTCCCCCTTCTGCTCCTCCAGCCAAAGAGATTCTGGCTTCTCCTGTCCTTCAGTTCTCCTCACTGCCTGTCCATCCTTAGCCAGTCACAGAGGAATCCTCTTCCTTGATCCTTCATGGGGCCCGGGCCACATTCAGATTTTTCTAATGGTGCTGGTCGTTTTAATTTCAACCTGACGGGAACTTACCTCTGGATGCTGAGTCCTCCTGATGTGTGCTGTAGTAACACTGCATGGTGTGTGGGCATGCGAGGAGGGGACGCGCGCAGTCCGTAACCTGGCTCTTCTTGCCTTCCACTGTGCAGCATCACTTAACTGCATGCTCTGCCGTTCTCCTGTAACTCCTGTCTTAAACCGAGAGGAGTCCTTAAGTACTTCTGACTGGAACTTCAGAAATTTATTGAAAAGGGTGCTTTAAAAGGTTACATAGCTCAGGGTGTCTTGTTCATATATCTGAAAATATTCAGCTGTTTTAGGCTAAATTCTCAAATCCACCAGTGGCTGTTGCTTTCTGTGCTGTTTTGTTTTGTTTACAATGTAAGAGGAGCATCTGTGTAAACGCACAACTGGGCAAAAGCGTGTGTGTTCCTCCACTGCTGTAGCCTTAGAAAGAGAAGAGGTATGGGACTAGCAACCTGTACGATCAGCTCTCAGTGTACATCACAGCTCAGTCCATGTTTTCCTTAGCACTGAGAACACAAATCAGGAAGACGTGCCTATAGGAAGGGGTGGGAGCTTCTGCTGTGGGACTACAGGGAGTTAGAGATGGATTGTGTTTGCCATGGGGGTGCCTTATTAGGAGTCAGCATTGGTGCCAATGCTGCTGAAGAAAGGGGCCTGGAAATTGTGACTCTGAGCCGGGCAGTCCTCTGCTGAAAGCTTGGCTGACTGGGTGTCGCTGTGTGCAAAGGAAGGAGTGTTCAGGTGCTTGGGTTTTTGCTGGACTGATGTGTTTGGCCCTCTTAAGATAAGCTGTCTGATTTATCCTGCACTGTTTTTTTTGTAAGGCACTCCACTGAGCTTATCTGGATTTGGGTCTTTCAGCTAGAGATGGGCTTTCGAGAGGAAATAGCATCGTTACAGAAAATCTGCTATTTTCCTCTATTCAGAACAGCCCACAGAACATGCCACAGCAGTAGTATGACATCTTGGTTGAACGCCTTGATCTTGCTATGCATAAACCCTAAAATAATCAGAACGGAGCTCTCGCTGTGACGAAGTATCCACATTTCCCACTGAAAGATCCAGACGCTACTGGAGACTGCAGGTGCTGGTGAAATGCTGGGAACATTGCTTAAGGAAACAAAAGGTATTTCAGAGCTTTCATGGTTATTGTTCTTCAAACTAGGATTCACTGTGAAAGCAAAAATGTAGCACTAACAAAAGCTCTGTAGAGATCCATTAACAATAAGCCACAAAGCTGAGTGTGTGGTGGGCAGGTACAGCTCCTGGCTGAAAGACTTTGTGCCTGTAACTTAGCAGCTGGCATGGGAAGGGGACATGCAAACCTATTTCCCATGCGTGCTCTCCTTTGGAAATATTTTTAACGGTGCCTTCAGATAATTGCAATATCGACCTCCATGCAAAGAGAACACCTTTCTCCATTCTGGTGCTTACAAGCGCTGCTGCTCTGATGGCTGTTTACTTGTCCACAAAAGGGATCCAACATCTGCAAAGTCTGGCTCTGCCCTTCTGTGTTCCTGGTGCTTACCAATCCTGACCCAAAAGGTTTGTCTTCCAGCTTGATGTTCCAGTTTGTTTCTCATTCTATTCTCAGACTTCTGAAATGCTCAATAACAACCACTGTGTCCCATTTTCCACTAGGACAATGGATATTTATTGAACCTAGAAAATTGTTTCAAAGTAAATACTTAAAAAGAGCCACTTGAGTTCATCAGAGCAGAAAAAAGCCTGAAATATGCATGGCTCTGAAGGCTGGGCTAGACTTTCACAGTCACTCTGGCTCAACTCTCTTGTTCTCCGTTAGCAAACTTAATAGGAAATGTGCCTTAAAAGTCTGGTGTCATTTTTCTGTACCGGACAGCAGGCTCCTCTGTCCTGTCAGATAGAGAAGGGAGGGAGTTTTGAAGGGGAGCAGTGGGTTTGAAACTGGGAACAGTGTTAAGAAAGACAGTAGTTGGCTGGTGAAAGGATAGGAACTGGTAAAAAAAAAACAAACACTGATAAGATGGCTTAGCACTGTCTGTCTGCTCTGCCTTCCCTCCAGTGCAGTGATCAATACAAGGTTTTCAGGCCTGGGAAGCTCCCTGCTGCAACTGTCCTTCCAAGACCATTTTTCATGCAGTGTTCCCCTCTTAAAAGCAGCACGGACAAAATCACATAATGAAATGGACAATGGGAACAAATCCAGTGCTGGCTCTGCTGTTCTCTAAACGAGCTGCACAAAAGACCCAGGTGACCTGGAGCTATTATGTCCATTAAGTGAAATAAAAGACCTCTAGCCTTTTTTTCCCTTCCCTTCATCTTTGATACTTTCCAGTTCTCTCCATAAATTAAATGTAGGAAAAGACTCATGTTTATATTTAGCTGTAATTGTCTTCTGCATTTACATATAGGATTTGGAGGGTAAGTTCCTTCTAGTCTGTGAACTTGCTGATCTCGCAGAGGTAAGCAATTTCTTCTTGCTGCTCTGCGGTCAGGTACACCCAAATGTTGGAAGGAATCACGTGTTTAGAAGGATATCGAGGCTGCTACAAAGAAGAGAAGTGTGAGCAGCTGACAAGTCCTTAAAATATGTAGGGATGGTCGTGGTAACATCATGCCCGATTTCTAATAACAGTATCTTTTTGTATTTTTTTAAACAAGAATAACATTCATCCGTCTAAATCTTCTTGCCCAGTAGTAAGGAAATTTGGTACAGCACACCAAGATGCTTGTCAGCCTCTTCAGACGTTCTGCTTTCAGGAGCTAGAAGCCAAGGTTGTGTCGAGTGTCACTATAGCCCCATAAGTCTTCTGAAAAGGTGTTTTCTTCCCTTCTTTTTGGCAGCATTTTAACTTTTTCTTTCAATTTAAACACACCCTGTATTTGTGCTCTGGGGTCTGGCACTTCTTACACTGTTTTTCTGTCGTTACATCATTCTTCTGTGCCTGGTTTTCTCTTACTCTCTTGCCTTTTTTCCTGTGCAGTGCTGCGATGGGACGGGGTGCACACTAGATAGCAGGAGCAGGCAGGCAGTAGAACTGTGGGAAGGAGTGGGGTTTACGCTGTAAAACCTAAATAATAATACTTAAAAAATCCTTTAAGTTTGGTGACGCAGCAAGTGCAAATCTAGACTGAAAGTCTAAAATCTTTTCATCTGGGAGGTGCATTACCTGCTGTCTACATTGCGAGCAAATCCATTTGTCTTCATGTTAAATTAATACAAGTGAAATATATTTACAGGTTGCACTAATGTTACATATCAGAAACTGCTTCATTTTATGGCCAACTTGTGCAACTGAAGCCTTGTTCTCTGTGGTGCTTTCTCCACACCTTATAACTGAAGAACTTTCAGACTCCTAATTGGGAAATTTTTAAAGATAAAACCAAATAACAAAACAGATAATGGTGCGTGACTCACTTCTCATGCCAAAGAAGCTGTTGTCTTTGCTCAGGCATCAGCTTATTTTCCCACTTCTTGGTGCCTCAGCAAGCCTGTGCTGCTGCTTCTAAAAACAACAAAAAACCTCAGAGCTTTAGGAGCAAGCCTGCAGCAAGTGAATTTTTCTCTCGGAGGCTCTGATGCTGACAGTCGCCTCCATTTCTGCCTTTCTTAAGTGCTTTGTCAGGCTTGATGGAATAGCACGATCGATCTTCTGGAGGAGAGGAAGGCAAGGAGGAAATGGATGTCTTTTCCCATAGATGTTGGGATTTATAAAGTGGTAACATTAGATCCGTACCGGTTCTGTATATGGAGCTCCTCCTTAGGTGATAAGGCCTGAAGAAGACGAATTACCAGTATTTGACTCTTTCTGGAAGAAAAATAGTTAAGCAAACCACTGCTGCCTTTACTGAGACTATTCCTTTAGTACCTGATTTCATGCACCAAATATCTCTTCTAAACAACATGCTAGGCTTCTGTGAGGAAGCTGTAGCTATGCTGTGCTTCTGTAAGGAAGGTGCATTGCCAGTTTCACACTTCTGACGTGGCATTCAGTTAGGAAGCAGCTCAGCAGTTAGATAATGCCATCTAACTCTGTGCCTGGTTGATTTCCCCCCAGCAGCTCCAGCAGAAGGAAACGCGTGCCTGCAGCTCAATTCTTTTGGTGCAAACCCGTATCTGAGCACTGTGTTGCCATCCTGAAGCTGAGATGCTGTTTGGTATGCCACATTTCCTCCTGCTGAGGGGGATAATAGCTGACAAAGGGCTGGTAACTTACAAAAACCACTGACAACATCGTCCTGAACCACTTGGTTGGTGCTTTGAGCTTCTTGGTTTCATTTAGCTCTACTCTTATTTCAAGCAAGAAACGGGTGATCAACTGCGGTCACCAGGTGCAGCTCTGTTGCCTAAGGATGCTTCCAGCCATGCAGAGCATGCAAACACCTGAACTCAGCAGTATTAGAGGTTTTCAGCCCCAAAACCTCCCGTTTTAGGTGCTGCTTTTTGACGCCGACCTTGTGCTGGTGTCTGGACCAGACG